GACACCAAAACAAGCAGCCACTCAGTAACCCAACCCCACCCACACCCCCCCAACCCCCCCTCTCCCCCCCCGCTGATCTCTATAAATACCCACAAAAGGGCCACAACGCCCTGCGCACAGAGAGAACTGCTCCTGTATGTGCTCCTGCACTCTGAAGATACCGGTCACAGGTGCTGGCGAAACGTTAGGAAACAAAATTTCAAGACCACGGCCACACAGCCCGGAAGACCCACACCAGCCAATGGATTGGCCGTTTGGGATTGCAGTCCTGTTGCAGTGTGCTGGCTTTTTCATACTCTTTAATGTTTTAATGATGTCCACCACACGTCCATGTAGACTGCTGTAGCAGCAGTTCATCAAATGAACGAACAAATGCCTTCACATATAAAGGCCCTGCTGATGTTCCCTCCCAGTCCAGAAGTTATTTGACCTTTGATTTGTGGATTTTTGGGACTGCACATTCTGATTTCGAGATATGATGGGAGGTTTTTAGCAATGGTTCAACTAGAAGAAGGAACACCCACCCTGGAAGTTTCTGAAGGAACTTGAATAATGATTATAAAAATGGTAGAAAACATGCCTTGCATGTAAAAAAAAAAAAAAAATCCCCCAAGTTCAGTGTCTAGGTGGTGTTGGAAAAAACTGTTATCTGAAGTTCTGGAGGGCCACTGTCCTTTGCTATGCTGATCATGCTGACCTCCTAATGGACCTATGATTCCAACTCAGTTTGTAATCTTGCTGTATTCCTATAGTGACAGGCTAATGATGGGATGTTTTAAAAACCTAATTTCTCTTCTTGACAATCCTTGGAGCAGCAGTTTTTTTTTTTTTTAAGTCACCCATGAACCATTTTATTTGGTCTTATTTAAAAGGAGCTTGCCTGCATGAAACATGTAGGATGGGAACTAAGCTGATTATTGTTCGCTATTCCAACTGTGGTGCTCTGAAAAAGAAAAGTTCATCATATCCATTTTAAGCTTGGGCCACCTTTTCCCTTTTATCACCCCTCCCTATTCTTGTTATTCCAAGGCCAAGGAAATTCACATTCCTATTATACTGTCTACTTTGCAGCTGGCATCCTATAAATCACAGTCTTGTGCAACAAGGAGACAAGCTGGCAGAAATCACTGCATTTCCATATCAAGTTCTGAGTAAGTAATAAATAAATAAACACTGTCTTTCTCAAAGCAATGTCCTTTAAGCACATTGGGCTTCCCATAATTCTTTGCAAAGCTATAGGAATCCACATGGACCTAGGGCACATATCTGCCAAAGCAAAATCTCAGTTATGACTCCACATTTCCAAGTATTAATTTGCTGTAGGGACAATATCCATAGCTCTTCTCTTGGCTCTGGAAACATAACGGTTCTTACTTCCCAAACTGCCTCTTGTCATTAGCAGAACTGATATGCTCCTGGTCTGCCAGCAAGTGAAACAGAGACAGGAGCCTTAAGAATGAATTATACTTAAGACAGGGATGGCAAAAACACTGCTCCATTGGTTTGAATTGGCCATAGTTTTAGACAGCATTTTTGTTGGACTACTTGAAAGTCTGTACTGAACTAGGAATGACAGCTTTGGCCAAGGTAGAAACGATTACTATGAACATCACCAAAACCTCCCTGAGAATGGCAGAAAAGAAGAAAAGATATAGGCCTCTCAGCTAAAAGGAATGGCGACCACAGACAAGACTGTGATCAAAATGGTTTATTGATTGATATGAAGCCTGCACAAGTGGTGACCATTCCAGATGAATGCAAACAAATTGTTAGCTGTATACTGTAGCAGTCCATGGGAATTCTATCCCAACGTAGTCCAGTTGGAACTGCAAAAAAGGGAGAGTGATGAATCACACCTGACCATTTGCGATTCACATCTGGCAAGCTACAGTTGGCTGGATAAAGTACCCTAAGGACATTAATCAGAATGACATCCAAACACAGAAAAATGGATGCTCCCATTTTTAGTCAGAATGCCATTTTGAGCTTAAAAATGGTTCCCCATCCTTGGTTTAAGCAGGATGCCTCTCCTACCATTTCTCTACTCCCTTTATGGAGACCTTTGACATCTTGGTAGAATTATGTAACTGAGAATACATTTCTCACCGTGTTGTATAATTCCATGCTCCAGCAGTCTACGGCCAAGTTGTTCAGCCTCAGCTCTTGTGGCGGCCTCTCCTTCCTGGATCAACCAGTCAATCAGTTGAGATGCCATGAAAGTACGTTCATATTTTGCTCCTTCTTCTTCTCTGGCTTGTAAAATAACATTTTCAGTATTCATAAGCCTGTAATGAAAGTGGGGAGTGCAAAGGGAAGGGGTCAATGCACACATAAGTACATAATGTTGCACAAATACATTCTCAAGTTTCCAATTCATTCATTCATTCATTTATTCATTCATTCATGAATGACCCAAGCAATTGCTTTGATCTAAGATCATTAATAAAGCAGATGATCCCATATTTAGCCCACAGCTTATCAAGCTGATTTTACGCATGATTGAAGCAAATGTCATCTGCTCAACTCTCTTATGCAAATCAAACTCAGAAGGCTAAAGGAGAAATGTTGAGATACATTAATACCATAAATAAAACTACAATTATGCCTCTGTTTTTCATAGGAAATCAGTTGGTAGCCTGTGGGCCAGGTTATAGTTCAACCAATCCATTAGCACTCCCCAAACTGGTATCTTCCAAATGTATGGAAATTGCAGCTCCTAAAAATTCCAGTCAGTATTAGAATTTAGCCATTCTGGCTGGAAGGCCTGGAACTTGCAATCCAAATACATCTGGAAAATATCAAGTTGAGGACAGTCGATACAGATTTTTTAATTAGTTGAAGCTTGAATGTAATGTGGAGTTTAGATGGGGTCTCAGTACCCATGCTGTTCCTCTTTAATTTCTTCTTCACCTTTAATGGAAGTTATTAGCCTTGGTACCATCATAATCCTCCCACTTATCCATTTTTCACATTCCTTTTGTAGTACTGTATAGTTAACAGAAGCGCCTAATGCACTTGCATAATGAACAAACTGCCAGAAATGGAACAATTGTTCTTATAACTATGCCAGGTCAGGATACAATAATGTTTCAGCCAACATTTCCATCAACAACTATACTAAGGAGGAAGTAAAGTCATCAAATCATCAAAATTATTTGACAGACTTAATTTCCACTTAATTTTTTTAAAAATGGAAGAATTTCATCCCAGATCATTCACTTGGTACAGGTAACTTTGTGGAGATAACCTTTGTTTTTATGTCCTTCTTCTCCAAAAGCGATTAATCAAACCAGATGCCAAAAGCCCATAGCCTAAAATCCAAAGCCAAACCAAATCTAAAAATTATTTATTTATTTATCAGATTTATATAGCTGCCCATCTCTTCATGACTCTGGGCAGCGTACAACAATCAAATAAAAAACAATATATACATAAAAACAAACTTTTAAAAAAGTATAAAAAGTCAACATTAAAAAATAGAAGTTAATTAAAAATACAGAAACCCCTGGCAGAGAGAGAATGAATATATCCACCTCAATAGTGGAGTCATCAGGACATATCTCTGGTTCCCTGGGACTCCCAGGCCTGGTGAGGAACTTCCAGAACATCAAGAGGGATGGAGCTAACCTAATTTTTTTGGGGGGGGAGAATGTTCCATAAGACAGGCACCACAGCAGAGAAGGCCTGCTGCCTGGGATCTACCAGATGTAAGTCCCCGCAGCATGCTATCTCTGCTGGATCTAATGGGGCAGGCTGATATAATCTGGGAGAGGCAGTCCCTCAGATAGCCCAGTCCCATGCCATGAAGGGCTTTAAAGGTTAAAACCAGCACCTTGAATTGGACCCAGAAGCAAAGTGGCAACCAATGCAGCTTGCGGAGCAGAGGTGTAACATATGCTGTCTTAGGAGTACACATAACTGCCCACGCCACAGTATTTTATACCAGCTGAAGCTTCTGGATACTCTTCTAGGGCAGCCCCATGTAAAGCGCATTATAATAGTCCAAACTGAAGGTGACTAGGGTATGATGACTGTGAGCAGAGCTTCCAGATCCAGGAACGGGTGCAACTGGCACACAACCCAAAGCTGTGCAAAGGCCCTCTTAGCCACAACTGCCACCTGCTCTTCAAGCAGGAGTTGTGAGTCTAGGAGAACCCTCAGATTGTGCACTGGGTCTGTCTGAGGAAGTGCAATTCCATCCACCAAGGAAGGCATAGTCCTAAAACCAGTAGGCCCCAAAACCCACAGCCACTCAGTCTTGCCATGGTTCAGCTGAAGCCTGTTATTCCCCATCCAGACCCTTACACCCTCCAGGCACCAGGATAAGATGTTCATGGCATTGCTTAATTCACCACAGGCAGAGATGTATAGTTGGGTATCATCAGTGTACTAATGATACCCCACCCCTTGGTGACGGATCAGCTCACCCAACAGCCTCATGTAGATGTTGAATAGGAGAGGGGAGAACACCAAATCCTGTGGCACTCCACATAGTAGGGGATGAGGGTGAGACCTCTCCTCCCCAATCACCACCGACCGGAATCAACCCTGAAGAAAGGAGGCAAACCAGCACAACACTGAGCCACCCACCCCCAATCCTCTGAGTTGATCCAGTAGGATACCATGGTGGGAGATATCGAAAGCCACCAAGAGGTCAAGTAGGGCAAGGAAGGATGCACAACCCCCATCCTGCCCATGCCAGAGATCATCAAAATGGTTTGCAAAACAGCTGTTGCATAAGAATTAGAAACTCTGGTTCTGCAGACACTAAGTGAGAAATTTGTGTTAATTGTTCTTTGACATGGAATGCCAGAAGATAGATTTCAGTACTGTATTGAACTAAATCTCCATGTATTATTAATATAAGCAGATCACACAGGAATCCAAGTACAGACACAGATTCGTGTTGGTTTCTTGGTAAAAATACAGAAGGGCTTTGACATTGCCTTCTTCTGGGATGAAACTAGAATAAAACGATAAACCTCCTGAGTAGTAACAAGTTTTAGCTGCACATAGTAACGATCACATACTTGAATACAGCATCCACCCTTTATCTGCTTATATGTATATAAGAGGCAGTATCTTGCATTAAGAAAAAGGAACCTCCAGGATTTTGATTACACTTTCATGCCAGACAAGAACCAAATGTTCTCAATAAGAAAATGTAAAACTGAAAAGGTACTCATATCAGTGCTTGCAATATAATGTTGCTAGCTTCATGCCCCTTTGAGTGGAAACAGCAGGATATTGGCTTATATCTAGTCCAGGAGATATTATATCAAAAACGGGCTTAGATGTTTCTAGAAACTGAAGCTCAGAAATTGTTGTTTTTAGGATCAAATCCCATAATTTTTTCCAATAAAAATAAATGTAATTTCTTCTTGCATTTTTTTCTTATTTGGTCTGTATGATGCACTGGGGAGGATTCCTTGGCAAAAAGAAGACTATCTCAACAGGATTTTTCTTTGAATCTGTTGACTGAGGATACGTTGAGCAAAATGAAGGTTTTGGGGTTTGATTGATTGAGTTTCAAATGGTGAGTATGTGGTATTTTATACACAACTTTTTTACATGAAAGCCCAACCATATTCAGAGGAGGAGGCAACATAGAAGTGTAACATTGCTATTCCTACGAATTCTAGGAATGGAAGATTATCAAGCTGAGGAAGATTTCTTTTGGCCAGGTGTATTCAAAACACCTGGGAGTTAAGTTTAGATTTTTTTGAGGAGAAAAAGTTTATTTTTTTATTATAGTCATTTTTATTGAACATTACAATTAAAAAGAACTAATAGAAACTAAAGAAATAAAAGGATAAAAAGAAAAAATAGGAAGTGCAGAAAAGAAAGAAACAGAAATATATAAAGAAATGACTTCCCCCTTCCCCCTTCATAACAAGTATAAG